AGGAGGCATAGAAAACATTTCTTTTGATGATGGAGCAGGGGCAGGCAGCCTATTTCTTTAAACATGCAACCTTCAAATGCGGAAACCTTTCATGTAGGAGCCTGAAACATTGTCCTGGCTTTATTATAAAGGCTGATAAAGGTCTCCACACCGTTTTTGTAACTGCTTTGTCCTTGGCAAGTCAGGACGTAGGAGGGTGCCAAATCTTGGGCTTGTTTTTTTTGCATTGATACTTCAAGCAGCGCCAGGCAGTTGGCGGTGAGCGCAGCGTCGCTGTAACCCACAATCAATTATTAAATGTTAGGAATGAAGTACAAAGTGCTCCAGGGAAAATGCTGTAGTAGTTGGAATCCCTTACCTTGGCTGAAGGGGAAGAGGGATTGTGTAGGGGTTTTTTTTTTATTGTTTGTGGACTTTTTGTGTTTTGTATTAGACGTTTTTTTGGAGTGGTGGTGGTGCGTGCCATCTGGCTTCTCCTTGCATTTATTTTTTTCTTTTGCTATTCTTCACTTTTCTGTCACTTCTTTCTGAGGCAAGCAGCATTGCTGGCCAGCAGGTCAGAAGCTACTACAGGCATTGTTGCTTGAGCCACATATAGGGAACAAAAAGTTTCTTGAGATTTTACTGCTTGGAAGAGAGACTGAAAACAGAATTTGTGCAAATCAACTTTAATTTTGGAGAAGCTCTAGTGATTATCTACGAGTGGTGTTGGGAGCTGTGTGGTGGTCTCCTGTGAAAATGTCTGCTGGAGGTCAAGTATTTAAATAGCCACCATTATAGCATAGAACAATCTTTAAAGCAAGGAGATGAGAGGTTGCCAACTTCACAAGTCAAATGTGGATGCCTTTATTTTCTCTATGAATAATTATGAATGAGATAAGGGTAAGACATAAACAAAAGTGTTTAAATCCAGTGTTATTTCTTTCCTCTGAGATTTGGTGCAGCTCAGTGCATTTCCTGAGGTCCTAAATCTGCTTTTCGTGGCTGATTTCTCAGTGGACTAACCCATTAACAGTTGGTATGAATAGAGGGAAGAGAGCAGCAGCCTCCCTCATATGTGCCATTTCTCAATTAAGAGCAGGGTAGTCCATCCTGCCCAGAGCAAGTGGCTTTGGAGAGTCTTTGTCTAATTTGTCTAAGAAACATTACATTGGAGACATTTTTTAAAATATATTCAGAAATAGTTAAAATTAGAAAGCAAAGTGGAGGTCAGTTTTTTTTTTTTCAGTTCAAAGTCTTCGGAGAGGTTTCTTAATCAATGCATAGATAGTGCAAAATAATGCTTGTACATCAGATAAGTCATAACTAATGCATGTGAACCAGAGCATTTGTTTGATCAATTTATAGAATCTGAAAACAAAACTGTCCAATGAAAGATGAGTTTGTCTTTTTGCCTAGGGAGACAGATAAAATAATCAGTAAACATCTGGGAAGGTTATGGTTTCTGTGGGTTGATGGCAACAAAATCACACTTGATTTTAATGTGATCAGTTGCCTTATGTTATGTAATGGCTACCTGCATAATAACTCATGTATGCAGTAGCTAACATTTCCCAGGCATCTGTGCAAAGGATATGTAATTTAAACTATTTAATAAAGCTTTATCACTTCATGATTAATTGGATTGGCTCATGACACACAACTAATAACTCCCAGTCTGTATTGCGCTGTGCTTATTAGAGTGCTAATGGATAACTGGTTTAATCATGTGTCAATTAAAAGGATGAGTCGGTTTCATTTATTGCAATTAGATGGTTTCCATAAACTGTTTGCAGGAAGTATCTGAATTGCATCGTGTATTAGCTGTGTGTGGGCTCTGCTCCTGGCTCCACGTAATCTGGGGGTGAATCAGTTCAGGGGAGTTTTGGATCCACGTGTCCACTCAGGATTGTTCTGTGGTGCATGGCACTGAGCGTGGGCATGGGGCATCTGCCTGTGCACCAGCATGTAAGGGTCAAGAAGCTTTAAAAATGACCATTTTCAAAACTCTCTGGATGAAGCTTTTGCAATAACAAGTTTTTAATCGCTTCTTTGGTTGGGAAAGTGAGTTTCTGACAACCCTCCTGTTTGCTCTGTGGAGGTACATGGTCATGAAACCCAAACCATCTGTTCCTTTTATTCTGTGCTTGAGGAGATGAGGAGACATGATGCAGAAGGGACGCTGGATGGGAGAATGACCTGTGTGATGCATGGGACAGACTTAGAGGATGAGATACCAAAGTTTCAAAGTGATTTCTATGTTTGATCAGTGCCACTCACAGCGGGTGGAAGGAGAGCTGGTGTGGGGAGACTGTCATGCACACAGGAGGAGCTTTGCAGACACCTGGGAATAAATAACAGGAAATCTGTCCATGTTCCCTCCCAGTGCTTGTGACAGAAGCATCTGGTTAGGCAGGCAGGTACTGTGCAGCAGCTTTTATCCCAGAATAAGCATTATTTGAGCTCACCTGCACTGTGATGTGGTTAGGTGCCCATCTCCCTTTCCCAGTAAGTTAAGGGTAGGATAAGAGATGGCCCCAAGTTGTGCCAGAGGAAGTTTAGATTGAACATTACAAAGAGTTTCTTCACTGAAAGAGTTGTCAAGCACTGGAACAGCCTGTCAGGGAGATGGTTGAGTCACCATCGCTGGAGGTATTTAAAAGACACATAGATGTAGCACTTGGGGACATGGTTTAGTGGTGGGTTTGGCAGTGCTGGGTTAATGGTTGGACCTTATAATTCTGGAGATCTCTCCCAACCTAAACAATTCCATGATTCTGTGGCAGTAGCTGCAGTCTGGCAGCATGTGGCTGTCCACACTCTGCGTTCAGGGCTTGTCTGCCTCTTTGCCATGTGAAATACTCAGCAGATTTGCAGAAGAAATAAAGCCTGGGAGCATCTTTGCCCTTTGGGGAAGAATTTGGCAGAACACCATTTTCTGGGGCTGTTATCTCATTAAAAGACACAATACTTGAAGCTTTTGCTTACAATTTTTGATCAACAGTAGAGCCCTGGATCACCTGTGGAAGCTGGAAGGACACTTGGTGCAAGTAGGTAAAATAGTTGCATGAACAAGATGAGGTTCCTGGCAGGAGCTGTTTGAAATGCTGTGGAAATAATTTCTCCTTCCTGCTCCCTCTCTTTCACCAACACTTTTGTATATAGGAAAGATCTTCTGAGATGGTTTCCAGCACACTTGGCTTTGGTAGGCGGAGAAACAGTTCAAAATGAAAGAAGGTGGGAGGAACTGCTGGGTTACCAATTTTGCAACATTAGGTATCTGTAAAAATTGCCAGTAGCACACAAATGAGAATGCTGACAAGTGTGGTACAAAATTGGCCTATTTCCAACATGAGAAGAATGAATCCTTCCCTGAATGCAGCATTTGGGTGGCTTTTTTTTTTTTCTCATTTATTTCAGTGGTCTCTGAGGTGGGATGCACAGTGTTATTAGTGGGCAGAAAGAAAATATAAGCACTTCAGCAATACATGTATATAGTTCATGAATAAATAGGTAAGCATTTTGGGGGTGCATGTTCAGACATTGCTGGTAGGAATGTATAATCAAAACAATTGGGAGACCACTGATCTATAACTGTCTTGGTCATGGAAATAAAGCATCTCTTCGGTTTGGAAATGTGAAAGTGGTTCAGATGTGCAGCCAGAAAACAAGCTGCTGGATTTAGATGTGAGAATGCTTCACCCTTAATTGAAAAGGGAGTGTTTTTTACAAGTATCACAGTCAATGACTTGTCTTGAGCAGCTAATTAGTACGATTATTCCGCAGCTGCATTAGTTTCACCACAAAGGTTTTCTCTTGTTTTATCAAAAGGATCAGTGTCTCTGTGAATGTTTCAACATGACAGGTCTTAAATAGCAAGATGGTCCCCTGCCTCCCTGCCCCCAAAATGTGTGCTCTGGAAGAGCAGAGTTTGATCTCTTGGGGCAGTAAGCGTGGGTTCTCCTTTTTTTTTTTTGTTTCTGCCCTGAACTGTGTTCAACATCAGTCCTAAACAAAGCCAGAAAACTTCCAGCAGTGCTGGCTCTGGCTGTGGCAGCACAAGCAGTGCTTTGAGCAAGACCTGGAAGGGTTGCTGGCTCCCAGACTTGTGTGTCCTGCCAGCATCCCACAGGTATCAGCACTGGAGCCGGAGGTGGGGGTTTCAAGAGCAGCTTCCTCCTGGAGCCAGGAGGATGACTGCTGACTTGCCAAGGCTTGGCCCATGGATTTTGGTTCTGTGGCCTAAGAAATGATGAGTTGCTCTAGAAAGTGTCCCTGCAGTCCATGGTGAAGTCCTATGGTCTGTCCCATGCTCTGCTTGCCAATGGCTTAGATATATGTCTTAGGTGATAAAACTGTGTTGTGTTGGCTTGAGCCAGCCTGTTGCTCTTTGTAAAGGATGACTGGAATAAAGCTGTTACTTTTGTTTATTTTGCCTGTATTTTGTATCTGACACTGCTCAGAAGATGCTGGTGGGCCTGGGGTGGGAGCTGGGTTTTTTGTAGAGGTCTGTTTTCTAACTCTGAAAAGTCACTGCCAGCAAGCCCAACCCTAAGGTGGTATTATGCAGGAAATAAGTGAACTATATTTTGTCATTTTTTCATGGGAGAGGTAAATTTGCTTTACTTTGAGCTAGATCATTGGACTGGAGGATTATCCATACCAATCATTAGACTTGCTTCAGCTCTTTATTCTTAAGGAAAAAGGAATAAACGTGCCTACTACTGTCTATAAAAGTGTTTGTTTTTCTCATGAGCAGTTGCTTTAAAATTTGAAAGAGCAAATGGCTCTTTACAGCTGGATGTTGGCGTTGGGGGAATGGTTTGGCTGCAGTCAGGTTGAGGCAATCTAAGGTGGCCACTAAGTACCTGAAGTTGTTTGGCTTCGAGTTCCCCTCTCGCGGTGCCGCGGATCCTCACCCACCGCGCCCCACGTTCCCCTGTAACTCCACCAGCTCTGGCCTCCGGAGCTGCCATCCCGCTTGGTGGAAGCTGAGCTGTCTTTCTCTGGTCTTCCCACAGCAATTCCGAGCATCCTGGCGCTTCCAAGCCTCCCTTAAGCTCCTCCAGCATGACCTCACGAATCCTGCTCCGACAGCAGCTCATGCGTGAGCAGATGCAGGAGCAGGAGCGTCGGGAGCAGCAGCAGAAGCAGCAGGCAGCCCAGTTCATGCAGCAGCGAGTGCCCGTCAGCCAGACACCTGCCATCAACGTCAGCGTCCCCACCAGCCTGCCCCCCGCCACCCAGGTGCCCATGGAGGTCCTCAAGGTACGCACCTTTCCGCTCAGGAACTCCTCAAAACCTGCTTTATTTTACAGGGATGTGGTTCTAGGCATTTTCGGCAACAAAGTTTTGCAAATAAGCTGTGCCCTGGCTTAGTTTGCAGCTTGTTTTGTTGGCCTGGTAATGAAGAATGGAAGAACTTTTAAAAAGAGTTTGTGTAACTTTTGTTTTCTTTCAACTTTGTGATCTCCGGAGGGAGGTTTTGTAACAAAGCTAAGTTTTCCGTCATTTTCCCTTTGGAAAACGCTTCTTCATCTTTCTAGTGCTTAATTACTTTCAATACGAAGAAATTATTAGCAGATAACAAATCAATGTTTTGGTTTTTAAAGGAAAACAATGAAATCGTTTTGTAAGATGGAGTCAAAACTCTTTACAAAAGAGCTCCTCAGAAAGCCTTAATCTGAAATATGGGTGAGTTTCCAACTACTTGCAACAAGTCTTTGTAATCCTTTTTTTGTTTAAATGACTTGTTTGCTATTAGTAGCTTTGGATTCCTTGTCCCACTGGAAACTATAGGAGCTTGTTAGTGTCCCTCTGTCAAAGGGGATGTAGCTTGCTAATTACTCAGGGAAGAACATGCACAGCTATAAGAAAGGAGATAATTTCACGCACTGCTTAAATTCAAGTAGGCTGTAGCACCGTGAAATGTGTGAGTAAAACAATGTCAAATGTTTTGGAGAAGTTTGCTGACATATTTCATGAAAATATGATTTTCACCAGTTTTGTAGAGTTTGCTTCGCATTATTGCTGGATCTTTTTATTGCAGTTTGTTGTTTAGTCAGTGAGCATATTCTTACCACATAAGTTAGCTGAGCTCAGTGACAAACCGTTCATGTTGTGCTTGTTGCTCTTGTATAACAATTATATGCAGACAGAAATTCAGTTTTAAAATAGACTTGCTGGCTCAAAATTTTGAGGTGTTCTGTGTGACAGGTTTATGGGGAAAAGATGGGATAATTATATTTATTGAATCTGCATTATGATGTTGTGTTGTGAGCACTAAAACTAGCACTTGATTTGAGATAGTACAGTCATAGTCCAGTATGTGATCTAGGAGCAAAAAGGCAGCAGTTGAATTTTGAATTCTCTTTTTCCATACACACACATTTCCATTAAAAATGAAATGTAATATTCTTTGAGCATGTGTGCATATATCTATAGTAAGGAGTCTGAAATTGTCTGGGAAGAATTGTTTTGTCTAATGTTTGTATATTACTCACAATGTTTGTGTGTAACAATTTCTTCAGCCTGTTTCCAGGTTATGGCTGTAGTTGTAATTCAGATCCAGCAGATGTGTAGGTGCTATGATTTTTTTTTTTTAAATGCACCTAGCTAAATAAGCATATATTATGTTTTTACATCTTTTCATCCTAATCTGTTACAATATGGATTTTAGGGTATTTTTAAAGTACTTGTAGGTATTTTAAAATCCTTGTGAAAACTTGTAGGAAAGTGTTTACTTTTTGATGATATTTACTGATAAGGAAGGAGCATCTTGAAGGACCATTAGCAGTTGTCATTATTGTTCATTTTGCAAATGCCTCTTTGGATAGGGGAGGAGGGAGGGCAGCCCTTGATTTCTGAGGGACAAACTTCAGAAACCTCTGCAGCCAAAAGGTGATGCAAATGGGGTTCCTGAGATCTGGCTTGTCACAGGATCTGTGTGCAAAGCTGTAAACTGCTGGAGAACTGCTAGGAAACTTCACCCACAGGACTTGAACCTGACCCCTTGTCCCTTAGGATTCCAAAAAAGATATTTGTCCCCCATTTCCCTCTGATGGAGAAGGATCTCCTGGAAAGAGGTAGGACGCCTCTCCTCCACTTGTCTTTAGCCCAAAGAAGAGTGCATGACCCTGTAGAATAAAAAATTTGGAGAATGTGTCCTTAAGCAGCTTGTAAAATAAAAATAGTTACTGGCAACAGGTACTTTTTGGCGATGGAATTCCATTTTGAAGGTGATAGTTGTGGAAATATGAGCAACCTGCTGGACTAAAATGATGTCTGTTTTCTAATCACCTACATTTCCATAAGTAACAGTCAAAATTAGCAAAACCCAGTCCTCTTGGGCTCTGCCTGTGAGAGGAGAAAAAACTGCAAACTGAGGAAAACAGCAAAACTGCTTTGCATGGTTTTGCTGCTTGTGTTTTTGATGGAGGAAAGCAGTGAAAGATTCACCTTTTTATCCTTACTCATAACAGTGGACCAGTTCTGTACAAAAAAATTAGTACAAAATGCAAGGTTTGAAGTCACAATCTTCCTGAAAATTACCACTGAGGCTTCAGTGAGAGTAAGATTTGGCAACAGATCCATATAGTTTCTTTGTGATTTTGGGGTGGATTGTCTTAGGGTTTTTTTGTTTTTCGTTTTTCCAAATAGGATATTTGGCTCAAAAGCTGAGATTAACAATAACTCAGGATCTTCCTGGTGCCAGTGTGCTGACAGCCAGCTCTGGCTGCAGTGACATCATTTCCCTGCAGCTGCTTTTTACACTTCAGTTGTTTTTTAGCTGTAGACAAATTATCCATATGAGCTGTACAGAAGTTTTAATAGATAAATAGGGAGCTAAGTTGCTAACTTTACTATGCATATGGTCTGGCTTTAGTGACCTTAAAGAAGGAGGTAGACAAAACGAGGATTTTTTACACTTTCAGGAATGTTAACTTGCAAGGCAACTTTGTTTAAAAGTGATCTTTTTCAATGTTACTTCACAAACAACACCAAATCCAGCCAATGGTTTTGTTGTTGTGTTTGTTTGTTTGTTTTGGTACTTTGCATCAAAAAATCCCACTCTAATCCTGTTGAATTTGTCAGTGTTTAGTGGTTTTAATTATGTTGTGTGACTTGCCCTTTCACCCATATCTCGCAGTGTAAGAAGGAGAATAATACTTGCATATCTCAGGATGGTAATTCAGAATGACTGGTTTAAAAAGAAGCCAGAGGTGTTAATGAGCTTGGATTTTATATTTGTTTTCAAGATGTCCATTTAGAAACAATACAGAAAGAGAAATATGTACTAATCTATGTCACGTTGCATAGGCATCTCCAAATTGCATAACGTTTTATGCTCAAGGCCATGTGAATAAATTGGATTTCATTTTCTTGAGTAATGACTTCTCATTGCATCACTCCTCTGCCAAGTAATGTAGCTTGGCAAGGTAGGAGATGACCTGCTGGAATTCAAATTTTGCATTGCTTTGTGCTGCCTAATTAAGAGATGGACAGGGATAGGTTTGATGCTTTCAGAACAGTATCCCTTCAAGTCTGATAGCAAAAGGAAGATTTGTTACAGCTTGTGGTTATCCTTCTGCAGAGCTGGGATTGGCTTCATGGGCTGGTTTGTCTTTGAGCACCTTCTCATCCATCTCCAACACTACAGAGAGATGTCACCAGGAGTTCTTTGCTTCTGCTGCAATTTACTTTGTTTCTCTACCTTGGAAATAGGAATATAACATAAAAAAATTTTCATTGGAGTAGTTTCAAGCCCCAGTAAATCCCATTAAGGATGGGATCCATAAGGACCCATGGGTCCCATAAAGACACATTCCTTATGTTTTTATTTATTTATATTTAAAAGGATTAGCATCTTTGCAAAGAGCTCATGTTAAAACTGAATTGTTGCTGTGCTGTGTGGCTTTACCTGTATTGCTTTACTTGATTTCTGGATCAAGCTTATTGTATAGAAGAAGTATGACACAATCCCCTGAATCCTTTGAATCTGCCTGCCCAAAAGTCAGTGTGGCACTGCAGGAACTGTGGCTGGTCTGTGTCCTCTGCGGGAGCAGCAGCACACGAGGCTCAGGGCCAGCACCGGCCCACAGAATTGCAAATCAGTTCCACTGAAAATATTACCATTTCTTGCAGGATTGAAAACATTTCTGGTGGGCAGCTGACACCCAGCCCTCTGCATGTCTCACTAAGCAGATGGAAGGTGGAAAATGAAGGGTGAACGTTTCTTCCCTCTGGCCCTCCAAGTTACTTGTTGGCGTTTCTCGGTGCGTGGATGTGACACTTGCTGTCATGTTTCTGATGTGATGCACCAGGTCACGGGTTGATGGAACCTAAACTGGATGTCCTCTGGGTCCCTGTCCCTCCTGCTGGATGCAAATGCTCCCAGGGATGAGGTTGCTGCACATCCCCTTCGTCCTGAGTGTTGCCACACCAAATGCATAGCATGAAAGAAATCTTCTGAACTTCTCATACCTCTTCCTCCTTCTTTGTCTGCCTTTGGGGTTTGAAGAATGTAACTTTCCTTTGGCACAGATGGAAGATGCTTGATACTACTGCCAAGAACAGCCTCCAGGGCTGCAGTGAGAGCCTGCAGTGGTACAGATATCTTTGGAGAGCTGCATAAGCGCTTTGCAGGTAGTAAGGAAAAAGCAGGTGTCTTCACCAGCAGATGATGCAGCAGGTCCATTTAATCCCCTTTTAGCTTGTTTTTGGAGAACAAGAAAACAGTTCCCTTGCCTTGGGGATCTAAATGTTGAGGTCTCTGCTTTCTGGATAAAAATCTCTACTTGTGCATATACTGCCTTGCTAATAGGGCAGTTCACCCCAAAATATACACATGTATATTTTATATATATATGTATCTGAGACATATGTATGGAAGCATAGGCCACAAACTAACTTTTAATGTCTGTCCTTAAGCCATTTCAATCGTCTGTCTCCATACAACAATGCTTATAGTATGCTAAATATTCAAAAATTTGTTGTCCTCACTTCTGATTCCCCCTGCTCAGTTGCCTGGGTTTGTGGTTTCATTGTAGATGTTAATTCGTCTTTTGGTGCCAGAATTTCATCATGGCCTTTCTTTCTTGTCCTAAGCAAGGTGAAACCTTTCCAAAATCCTTATTCTGTGTACTGGATTCCCTGTCTTTATTATTCCAACATCTTTGCCCACCTCATGGCAGTACCTCATGGCTGATCACTGCTGATACTAGAGTGGGTGTGGTTGTCTTCTGCTCAGTGCCCTCCCATTGCTGCAC